CCATCTTGCACTTCTTGCCTACCCGCCAGCTTTTCGTCTGACAAAACCAACCTCAGGCCGACCACCGCCTCTGCTTTACACTCACAGACTCACCCGTTTCTATATTAAGCTCCGATGCGGATAGACTACCCACATCATGATCAATACCTAGTTGTTGGTTATCCCGGATATCGGGCTGACACTCATGAAATGAACACTTGACCTTCTTCTTGAGACTGAAGTCCACAGATTCCTGCTCATCATTCGGAATGAGAACAGTATCAGATGATTCTCCTGAATCTTGCTTTGGCATGGAGAGATAAGTGGAGGGTTCTTGTTGTATTTGTGGAACTAAATCTTTTTGCTCTGCAATTCTTCGTATTACCCCAATTCCAGAGTCAGAATCTGTATCATCGGCCATGGATTTTCTCCAGCAAAAGAAAACTAGAGCTTGTTTGTTGCAAGAGACGCAAAACCCTCTCTTGGTTTAGAGCAAAACCCTCTGTTATTCTGAGCGATGTATTTATAGGAATGTATTTATGGGAATAATGTTCAAAATTTGCAATAAAAAAAGTTTGTACTACTTTTTTTATATAAAAAAAATCATTTTTGCTATATATTAAACATTAAAATATATTAAAAAATTATTTAATAAAATATTGTATTTCAATTAGGCCCTCTAACTAAAAGATATAAGTTTTAATTAAATATTTTTAAATTAGGCCAAAATTAATTTATTTAATTAAATTATTGAACTTTGTAGTTGTAATCAATTTAAATATAAATAATTAAATTATGATTAAGATGAAAAATCACTGTTTTTAACTATAAATAACTTAATTTTAAAAATTATCTGTAAATAACTAATCAAAATTAAATATTAGAGGTAAAATATTTGTATTACTGTGATTTAAAGTAAAAATAAAAGTTTTGAGTTTGTGATCAAGAAATGAATGTTCCTTATGGCTACTAGAAAGTAATTTGATAATGTAAGTATATTTTCAACATTGTACATTTAATAGTTATTCATGTAAAGGCTTAAAACTTTAAAAAAAATAAATTTATAATCTAAATACGGAAACAAATAATAGAATTATGGTTTACATTCCTTACACAATAATTTAAAATACTCAATAGAGTTATGCGAATATCTATTCTAAAAGTTAAATGGTAATTAAAAAAATGAATAAATAAACATTGTAGGACAACCTTCACTAGCACTTGAAGGGAGTCCGGTTAGTGAACTACTCACAACCATTTCCTGATTAGAATCTAGATCTTATTCTTCTTTATTTAAAATAGTTAACGAAATGGTAAACTATACTAACCCAATAAAAATATCACACTAATCACATATACGGAAAACTAAGGATTTATAAAAATAAAAAAAACAATTAATAAAACTCTTATTTTAATTAAATACATTTAACATAAAAACGTTTGTTTGATAAATACCGTTACGAGTTTTTCAAAAACAACCTATGAAAATTCATATGCATATCACTTTTTATTTTCACACATAAGAGAACAAGTGACGATAACATTTCTTTTTTACTTGCTTACTGGTACTTTTAGAGATCTATAGGGATTTCCCTTTACTCGTGAACCCAATATCCAATTTTAATAATTAACTAACCGTCCTCATACCCTGTCTGGTAAAAGGTGTCAAACATTTTATCGTCTCGATACCCCGTCCGGTGTGAGGATGAATCATATCTCTCAAACTTTTTTAGTATGAGATTTTTAGTTCTGTCTAACTGAAGTGACGTTCACGGTAGGATTCCCTATATATCGGGCTTGTTCACTTTTTTTCTAGATATCTGGTAATCCAAAACACTCGTTATATACCTAAAAATACCCTAAAATTCAAAATCGATGTCCAAAACTCTTTTTGACCAATTTTGAAGTTCGCATTGACTTAGTCGGTTTCGTCTGATTTTGGTCGATTTTATACGTATCCTTGCGGAAAAACATGTTAGGGGGTCTTGATTGGCTGAAAAATAACAGAAAAGCCGAACCTACAAGCGGGGGGTCTCTGAGTGCGGTGGCTTCACCAGTCCTCCTTCGCAATTGGGGTTCCTTCTTCGGCTAACCTATATAAAAAAGGACAGTAAAAATAATGATTAGAAAATCACGTGAAACATGAAGCGAGAAGGGGCTCATCGGAGGAATTTTTTGAGTTTTGGCTGCGGCAGCGCTACAGGACTTTGCCTGCGATTTCTGGCTCACCCACTGTCCCTCTTGCTCTGATTTTTCCATAGGGATGCTCGAAATCGAATTTTGAGCAGGTATGAAAAAATTTTACCTTTTTGGCAGTTGATGGTGGCTTCAGTGCGGTGGCGGTCGGCAATCGATCTCCTTCTTTGGCGATTGGTTCTTCTTCTCCGGCGGGGACCTACGGCTAGGGTTTGAGTTCCTCTACAATGCGAGATATTTATACATATTTTGCATCAATCTGGAACGTTCCTTGCGTTGATCTCTTCCGTCCGATCGCGTCTAAGAAGGAAATGAATTTGAGTCGTTCATTGCGATTGATCTCGTCCATCCGATCACGCCTAAGGAGGGAACGAATCTGAGTCATTCACTAGCATGTGATCAAACCTAGGCTGTTGGATTGCTGGACACGCGAATTGCCCGTGTGGTGCTGACGTCAGTGTGTTTTGACACGCGACGTGCTCCTGTTCATCAGGGCTGCTAATTGGATCATCCCACGTGGCCGAATTTTTATTTTTTGCACTTTGACCATTTTTTTCAGATTCTTCTTTCAAAAACAACCCCGAACTCAAATTTTAATATATATTTTTTAATTATTTTCAATTTCGTTCCTAATTTATTTTTTCTAAAAATTTCAATTAAATAAAAATAAATTAAATTAAATAATTATTTTAATAAAAAAATTATCGCGGACCATTTTTCGGGTCTGTGTATTATAATTCATTTAGTTGAATTAATATCAATAAAAATCTTCATCTCTGAACAATTCCTTCATTATCATCTATCTTTTGTATTAAGCTTTTTAAGGATTTTAAGAAATAGAAATATGGTTTGGTTGTATATTCATTTCCTAAATTGTTGATTTACAAATGAAATCAACACTTGTTTTGTAGGATTCATGTGTTCCAAGCATAGCCATAATAAGAATGATTGGCATTTCTTCATTTCCATTAGTTTAATTTAGCATTTACTGTTGCCTTTGATTTAATTGTTTGTATTTTTGTTTCATGTTAGCATTTTGGGTTTGTTGGTCTATTTATATGTTAAATATGGGTGACAGTTTCATCTTTCAGTCTTTTTTTTATGTCCTTTTTATTACTTTGCATATTCATTTCCTTTTATCGTGATAGGTACAATGGGTGGTTCAATTTTTTTGTCAATTATCCAGCATTTCTCAATTCCTGTCGATTTGGTTACATGTTTAGTGTTGCTATTAAATTTTACTGTTATGGGTGTTTTGTCTCTGTTTTCAGAGGGGATGACAATTGTACTAAGACAAGGATATATATGATTTTAATGGGGATAATTGTGGCTGCTTGGTTCACAAAATTACTTGAATGGACTACATGGGTCTTATTAGTGGCATTGGCTGCATATGATTTAATTGTTGTTTTAGCACCTAGTGGGCCACTTAAGTTATTGGTGGAGCTGGCATCAAGTCGGGATGAAGAGCTTACAACATTGGTATATGAAGCACGACCAGTAGTTTCACATAGTAGGAGGAATCATGGTTCAAGCTTGGGGCTTTTGGTTGTTGGGGTTTCAGATTCTGGAGCAACAAATCTCATGATGTTTTGATCATTGTAGTTTATTAAAAGAATAAGAAGAAGAAGAGATGTCAATGCTACTTTAGACCTAATTTTTTATGCATAGTAAAAAATTTGCTTCTTGAACAATCTATTTTGCTTATTTAAGTATGTCTAGGTTCGAGTTTCGACTGGATAATGCGATATCATCAAGGCAATGTATTAACCCATCAAAATATAATCTAATTGGCCTTTATATTAACATATGCCTATGTGTGCATTGGGGCACCCGACGTTAGAGATACACTATCATTTTTATTTAAAATGTTTCAAATGTGTCACTAAAATTTTAATTTAGTTCAGTTCGATTTTGGACAAAATTGTAACGGCCCCGGAAATATTAAAATGAAATGAGTATTTAAATATATCAAATGCAGAAGTGAGATCAAAATTTCATTTAACATCCCTTACACGAAAAACCAAAAACGTGCTTAAAATATAAAAGATTAAACTAACTAAAAGAGAAACTCGAAAATAAAACTATGAGTATGACTACAGAGTCTCTAGGCATCCCTTTCGTCGTCCTCCTGCGGAACGGGCTCGGGAACCATGTCTTCCTGATCTGAAATGGTTAAATAAGGAGTGAGCTACACTAGCCCAGTAAGAACATCACGATATCTCACCGTCACGGAGGTAAAGGTGGGTAGAAAACACAAAAAAGACCAATGGAGCATAATTCACAATAAACTCATTTATCAATAATAAAACCCTTTACCATCCACTTACCTCGGTGGAATTTATGAAATAATATAAGAAAAACAATAACATTA